CGGGGCGCCAGGTACGGGCGGAGCGGCCGGGGGCGGGGCTGCGGGGCGGAGCGGGGCGGGGCGCGGGCTTCGATGCCACGCCCCCAGAGGGCCCGGGACATTGCGCCTGCGTGCAGGAGGCCTTAGGGCGTAGGCCTCTTCTGGCACCTCTGGTTTCTTGTTCTTCCCGGACCCTGCCTCAGGGTTTCAAGGACAAGGTTCTTGGGACAGCTGTGCCCTGGGAATGCAAGATTCCTAAAGACAGTGGTTTTCTGGAGCACTTAATGCAGGGCCCTTCGTCTGTCTCTATGTCTCTCCTTTAACCCAGGAGGTACAAATGTCCTCACTAGATGAGATTCCAAGAGGTGCAATAGCTTGCCCGAAGACTACACAGTCAGGAAACCGAGACTCACTGGAAGGACCTGGAACTGCTCTTTGGGACCTCTTCCCCACTTCACTGCCTGGCCGTGCTAGCCCTGCCCCTTCCCCAAGCTGTACCTGCCCTTCCTCAAGCTTTACCTGCCCCAACCCTGGGGAAAGCGGTCACACTCTCTTGCCCAGAAGTATGGTTATAGAAAAAAGGACACATGTGGACTTAGGCCATGTGCGTTCTAGCTCTGGCCTTGTCACAACTTGCCCAGTGTGTAAGGGAGTCCCTGCCACCTGGGTTTGCCCTAGGTTCCCTGTCTGTAAAATAGAAAACCTTTCAGGGCCCTGCTAGCTGGCACTGCTGTCCTGATGTGTCTTGGCCTGGTATAACCACTGTCCTCCACACAGATGTTGGGGAAGTCCAGTATCTGGGCCATGCAGGAACAGGGCTGCCCACCAGCTCATGGCCAGACATCTTACAAAGTTTCCCAGAAATGCTGCCCACCACCCTCTGTCCCCAGGGCCAGGGGCTCCCAGAAGGAGAGCAAGCAGCACTATCCTTTTCCTCTCAGACCTGGCCCAGGGTCAGGTTCGAGCCCAGAGAGCCAGCGGGAACTCCGGAGATGTGCATTCCAGACACCGAGTAGCTTTGGTTTTAATAATTAACAGCAGCAAATATTGATTTACACAGGCACTTCCAGGCCTGCACACTTCCGGGCACCCATCGCAATGCAGCCCGAGGAACATCCATTCCCACACTGGCCCTGGGGGAGGCCAGGCCTGCTCATATCACCAGCAGTATGTGGACCAGGTGGAGTGCACAGTGTGTGCATGTGTCTAGGCCCCTATCTATATACGTGTGTGTGTGACTCCAAGGCTGGCTGTGCTTGTACGTGACACATCATGGTTGTGTATATGTGTGTGTCCATGTGTGCACGTGCATGTGTTTATAATGTGCCCCTTCGTGTCTGTGCAAGTCTGAAAACATTATAGAAATGTGCCTGAATCAGTCTGTAACCATATCCCCTGTGCCTAGGTATGGGTAGGCCAGGTATGCACATGCGTGCAGACCCTGCAGAGGACAGCTCAGTGTCTGTTTGAAGAGAAGAAACTGTCCCTTCTGGGAATCCCATCCACCCTAACAGATAGCAGCTCAGCTTTCTAATTTCCAAAGCACTTCCACAGCATCACCCAGCAGCTAGCTGGCAAGGTAGATCAAGAAGACACAGTCTACTCTGTGCTACAGGTGATGAGAAGACAAGCCCAAGAGACTTGCCAGTTAGCACAGGGGTCACCTGTCCCTCACACTAGTACTAGAATCATTACAAATGTGCACCAATATAGGATGATAAGGAAAATTGGAGAGTGTGTCCCATGCCTGGTTCTCTCAGCCCACCACTAGCCTGCTGGAGACCCCAATGAATCACTCAGTGTCTCTGAGCAGGTTTCCTCCCTTGGCAAAGAAAGTCCACAGAATGGGTCCTGATTGTGGAGAGAGGTGGTTTGAGGCTCACTGTCTGGGCTGTGTGGGCGCATTCAGAGGCTGGTGGCCAACTGGGCAGAAGCCAGGAGGTTGAAGAGAAGTGGTTCAGCAGTAATCACAAGGGCCACCCTGAGTTGTCTGAGCTGCGAGTCCCTAGGGAAGGTCTACCCCAGACCTCCTTCCCAGATAGAAAAACCAAGGCCCAGGTGGAGCAAATAACAGCCTAATACCTAGGGGAAGACTTCATCCACGAACCCAGCAACTCAAGCAAGCAGCTCCCATCAAGTCTGTCTCCCGAGGATCCTGTGTCCCTGTCTGGGGCTGCTGCCCACCAGAGAAAGCAGCTAAGGGTCTCAGGAGTCCCTTCTGCTGCTGTAAGCAGCCACACTTGGGGTCCCCATGGAGATGGTAGTCCTGCACACAGATACCACTGCCAGGCCCTGTGCCCTCCCCTCCTAGGAAAGGTGCTGGTTCTGTCGCTCCAAGCCAGAGCTCCCTCCCAGCTGAGTGACCCTGGGAAGATCCCTTCACCTCTCTGAGCATTCTCATCAGGCGCATGCCTTCTTCCAGCCTGAAGGTAATGAAAGGGCCAAGTGGCAAGGTGGTTGTGTGGGTGCACTGTAGATACTACAGAGCGTCCAACGTTTATTCCCCTGCACCAGAGAGGCCATGAGCCACACACTGGTCAGAAAACGCCAGTCAGTCCTGACCCTATGGGCATTCTGCCTGCTGCCCTTTGTGCGAATAACAACCTCCCTGAGGTTCAGTTTGGATGAGAGTAACTATAGCACAGAGTGACCAGCTGATGACAGGATGATGCTGCAAATGATGCATTAATTAGAGCAAAAGACAGAATCCTCTGGAAAACCAGTGGCTGCTCCCCTGCCTCCCTGCCCCCGACATTCTGTGGAAGCCATTTGGCCACTCGTTTTGCCAGGCCAAGGCTTCTGAGGACAGGGTCTGTGTCAAGTACCTTCCTGACCCCTTGGGGGCCCAGTTTTAAGTTTGGCACAGAGCCGGAGCTGGGCAAACCTTGGCTGTTGGTGAGTAACAGAAAGATCTTCACCACTGGGCTCTAAGCCAGAAACTGCCTGGGCTGCTGGACCTTTTCATCCAACCCTGGTGTGTGAGATCTGAGAAGCAGGGGCTAGTCACACCTGACTTACATGGGGATGACACCATGGTCATGATGACGGTAGAGATAAGGAAGAAAAGCCACTTACCCAGTTGCTCCCAGGTGCCTTCCTACTTGCCCTAAGTCTCTTCTGCAGCACCTCTGCAAACCCTGGTTCAGCCTCTGAGACCGCACAGGCCACCCAAGGGTCAGGAGTGGTGTCCTCTTAGGGACTAAGCCCTAGAAGCATCAGCTGAACATTTTACATCTTCTCAACAGTCATGCTTAGGCATCTTCCAGCCCTTTCAAGGCGGAGAGCAGACCAGGGCTGCAGGTGGGGGTTGCTTACCTTAGGGTAGGGTGAAGCAGTGTGGGAAGGAACTGAGTCCACTGGTGACAGGTCTAGTGCCTGAGGGAATCGCTGTTTCTGCCCATCACTCCTCCTGGAAGAGAAAAGGAGTCCGAGGTCAGGAAAAACCCTGGGCTGGGGGATTTGGGCTTTCTGGAAGGAAGAGTCCTCTCAGAGCTGGGGAAGGAGGGAGACGGATGTCATGGAGGAAGAAAGTGCCCCGGGCTTCCCAGGAGAAAGGATAGAGGGGGTTTTCTGAGCAGGCTTAGCAAGCAAGCTCCCCTTCCCAGAGGTCAGAGGTATACACACGGTCTCTCCCCACATTCTCTATAAGGCCCATTCTAAAGATGAGAAGACTGAGACAGGCACAGCAAGGGCTGCTGTAGGGGGCTGAGCCCTCAAGATATCCCAGCTCTATGGGCTCCTCCCAGAGCCTTCAGTAGGCAGCAGCCTGGGGACTGAGAGGTTATGGGCAACTGCTATTGCTAATGCCAGTAACTGTCACTCTCCAGGCTTTCGGGCATGGCCCTCTTTACTCTCAAGTTAGAACAAGGACCAGGATGTACACAGAGGTCACACAGCTAGCCCACAGCACAGCTCTGTGTACTACCCATTTGACTCCAAGCCTAGATGCTGCCATACCCACAGACCTTTGAGGACAGGGCCTGGGTCTAGGAAGGGCCTGGATCTAGGGAGCCTGTGGCCTAGTGTAGCAAACCAGGCTTCCATCACTGCCTGGAGCCACCCTGGGGCTGCACCCCCGCCCCAGTTCTACTGAATGAGGCTGGTCCTGAGAGGGTGAGTCACCTTCCCAAGGAGCTTCAGTGACCCATGGCGAGCTTGTGTCAGGCAGAACAGAGCTGGCACACCCAAGAGAGGGAGAGTCCATGGGATCCTGGTCCAAAAGAACCCCCTTACCTCTCCTTAGCCCTAGGGACCCACTTAGCATGGAAGGCCCTCTGTGTCCTGGCCACTGCTTGACTCAAAAACGCAGACCTGGTGGCAATGGTATTTCAAGCCTATGGCATCAGTGTAGGTGTGATGTTCACAGACACTATGTGGCTTGCTCATGACATAGCCCCTCTTGGCCTCAGTTTCCAAAACAATTCATCACTAAACCAAAGCAGTTCACAGGTATTCACTCAGTGAACTCTCTCCCAAGTAGGGCCGGGTAGAATATTTGCTGGCTGAGTGAGTCGAATGAAGATGGGCAATAGGGAGTGTTTGAAAGTTGGTGAGCAAGGGAAATCCCTAAACACAACTCCCAACTGATACAAGGTTCGCTGGCAGTGGGACTGGGGGAGAGGGGATGTGGGGAGGGGCACTATACAGAGGCCCATAGACACACCCAAGCAGATTCCGTGAACACACATTCTGCCCTTACTGTGCTGGAGGTTGGGGTCACTTATCCTCATTTTGTGTACAGGTTTACAAGCATGTGGAAGCCAGAGGTTGATACCCTAGGTCTTTCTCAATCACTCTCCATCTTATTTTGAGACAGGGTCTCTCACTGAACCTGAAGCTCGCTGCTTGGTTAGATTAGCTGGCCACCAAGCTTCAGGGAGCCTCCTGTCTCCATTTCCCCAGGACTGGGGTTACAGATGTGCATCACTGTGCCAGCCTTTTACACAGATAGCAATCTGAACTCAGGTCCTTGTGCTTGCGCAGCTAGCACTTTACCCACTGAACCATTTCCCTAGCCCCCATGTATTTCTACAGATGAAGGAACTGAGGCTTGGAAAGTTGAGGTCACTTCCCTTAACAAGTGTGCTGGAATTCAAAGCTCTTGCCCTTGACCAAAGCATGGCCAGTACCCATGGGGAGAAAGCGGAGCCTACTCAGCAGCCAGGAATCACTGGGGCTAAAGCTAGGTAAAGCTGGGTGCTCCTGGTGGAGACCACTCTCCTGGGTCATCCTGGCTGTATGAGATGATAGTACTTTCTGTCTGCCTCTCTCATGGCCCCAGGATCAGAATCTGATCACCTGGTCAATCGGTGGTAACTCCTAATATACCCACTAGAACCTCACTTGTCCATCTCTCTCAGAACCACTCTCAGGGCTGTGGGGGAAGGTTCTCCACCTTCCATCTAGGAGACCCCTCTACCCCCACCCACTCCCTACACTTGTACCCCCTCCCTCAACACACACAGATCTTCTGATTCTGGGCACTGTCCTTTCTTCCCATAGCTAGGCAACTCCCCTAAAAAGTCACTGATGAATCCTAAGGGGCAGGGAAAGGAACAGGGCTGGGACAGAGGAAATTCCGTCCCCAGCCCTGAAGGTGTGGAAGGACAGCCATCACAAAAGCTTTGCAGCATGAAAGTCAGGCCCAGGGGCCAAAATGCAGGTGCTCTCACACCACCTGTTTCCCACATGAGGAAACTCAGGCTCAGAAAGGGTACCCATCCACAGAGCAGGCAACTGTATCTTGGTTTGTGGACTCCAGAGCCAAACCCTGAGGGTCCAAGCTCCACAGAGCCTTCCCAGCCTGAGGGGGTGAGCACTGCCCAGTACTTCCAGTGGCTGAAGAGGTACAATACCAGTACCAACCAGCAGCAGGGATGGTGACTCTACCCAAGTCAACTCCCTGAGTCCTCCTTCCCTTTTTTTCTTTTTTTTGTTTTTTGTTTTCTTGTTTTTTTGAGACAGGGTCTCCCAAACTGGTCTGGAACTCACTATGTAGATGAGGCTGGCCTTGAACTCACAGAGATCTGCCTCCTGAGTGCTGGGATTAAAGGCATGTGCCTTTCTAATTTTTAAAAACACTTATTTGTTTATTTAATGTATTTTGGGGGGCACACACTATGACATGTGTGGAGGTCAGAGGACAACTTGCAGGAGTTGATTCTCTCCTTCCACCATCTGGGTCTCAGGATTCGAACTCAGGCCCTCAAACTTGGTGGCAAGCACTTTTACTCACTGAGCCATCTCATCAGCCAGAGTCCTTATTGTTCAAGAGAGGAAACTAAGGTCACAGACTAATGTCTGCCCAAGGTCACATTCAGTGAGTCCAGCGTCATAAACCCCTGAGAACTTGGGTAAAGACGCTGTCCTCTTAACCCCACCCAACAGAGCCTCTTAGCAAATAGAGGCTGCTCAGTTAACACTTCAATGCAATAGACAAACTCAGCCTCTCCTCCTCTCTCCCCTTCCTCCCTTCCCCTCCCCGTTTCCTCCCTCTCTGCTCTTCTGCCTTCTGCTCAGATATCTCTGCTCCGAGTCTCTAACCTCCCATCCCCTGTAGCCTCTGCACACAATCTTCATGAACTTGAGTGCTTTCCCATGGCACTCTTGTCTCTGTTACTCCATTTGCATGGGGTCCCCTAAATCTTGTCCCCTCCCCACTTCTCCAAAATCCTTCCTGAACCTCGGCCTGATTCAATTAAAATGCCTCCTCTCTATTCTTCCTGCACTAGCAGCAAGGGGAGGGGTCTAGGGAAGCCAGGTTGCCCAAACTGCCCCTTTCCCCATCCCTGTTCCCATCTGCATCTGCGTCTGCATCTGCATCCCCAGCCCCATCCTATCTACTGGGCACCTGCCATTCACACAGGCAGTCTCCTTCCATAACTACAGTAGCTTTTGAAAAATTACATGTTGGGACTGGAGAGATGGCTCAGTGATTAAAAGCACCGGTTGCTCTTGTAGAGGACCTGGGTTCAATTTCCAACACCCAAATGGCAGCTAACTAATGATCGTCTGCAATTCCAGTTCCAGGGGAATCTGACTCTCTCTTCTGATCTCCGTGAGCATTGCACGACACAGGTACACTTACATAACATGCAGGCAATATACTCATACACATAAAATAAAAATAATAAATTTAAAAAATTTAAATCGTGTGTGTGTGTGTGTGTGTGTGTGTGTGTGTGTGTGTGTGTACCACAGCACACAGAGATTGGAGGACAATTTGCAAGAGTCAGTTCTCTCCTTCCACCATATGGGTCCTGGGAGTTGAACTCAAGTGGTCAGGCTTGACAGCAATTGCCTTTCTCCGTTGAGCCTTCATGACAGCCAGCCCCACAATGGCATTTTGAGATGTGACTCTATCAACCTTTTAGAGAAAAATGAGGCACAGAGAGTCTCCCTAACCAGCTCAACATCACACAATAGGGACAGGGCAAGGCTGAGGTCTGATTGCACTACATACATCCCAGCTGTCCTCCATATAGGTCCCCAGCTTTGTTAGTTGGCTTCCTGCCCACAGTGACCTCCTATCCCAATCTTGGCTCCTGCAGCCACTAACAGTCTTTCCTCCAGTCCTGCCCTGGACACATGCCCACTGCATGCTCTGACACATGAATAGGCAGCAGCCAAGAAGAGGTGACTTGTCCAAGGTCACATGGAAAGCTGGAGCCAACTTGCAGACTGGACCAAGCACATTCTAGGGTGACCTTAGCTCCTAAGGTTTGGGGTTCACCAGCCAGCTGGCCCAGCTCCCCTCCCTCTCAGGGCACTCATATTTTCCTGAGAAAGCGTAAAGCAGAGGAACATGGGGGACAGGGTCCAGTTCCCAGTGCCGGAAGCCACTGCCAACAGCTCCTGGTTTCTTGGCAACTGTCACCGCACCTTGACTATCTCTGCATCAAGGTAACAATAATAATCACACCTGGGGGAGCACAGCTCACTGCTTTTCAAAGGCTTCTTTAATCTGTTCTCTTTGAATTCTAACCGGAACTGAGCAACTGAGCAGCAGATAAGGCACTGGCCAGATTCCCTTCCCAGAAAGGCAAACTGAGGCTTGGGGGGATCAAGCTACTACTTGGAGGTGGTCCAGCAAGCAGCAGATCAGAGATGGAAACTCAATCTACCCCCCTCCCAGGCTCTGGATGCCTCACAAGGCGGGGAGGACCTCAGGAGGCTTGGTCCTATAGGGTCTGAGTTTGGTATAACCGTGCACGACCAGAGGCAGTGGAGGGGGACAGGTGGTGGGGGACAGGGCTGAGGACAGGTGCATCCCTGTTGAATCAGCTGGAGGGTTTGCCCCATCTTTTCTCAAATCTGCAGAGAGAGAACTGAGGGACCCTCCACACTGGGCTGCCTAGAAGTCCAGAATAAGCGCTGAGCAAGGCCAGCACCAGAGCCACCCTCCTGAGA